ATAATTTATAAAGTACTAATTAAAAATTCGCGTTATTACTTGTAAGAACACTAAGATAAAAATGAACTAAGTATCAAAAGAAAGCGTGAGAAGCTCTATAACTAAGATTGTAAAAGAGTAGATATATAGACAATGCAGATACTATGAAGAAAAGAGGATAATGATAAATAAAATATATATATAAAATTGAATAGTAACTAATCACTGAATCTCTTAAAGAAACTTTTAAAGATTTATAGTATTTATATATATAAATGAGTAGTAATAGATTTTATCTCTAATCTTTTATAAAATGAAAAATTAGTAATGTAAAAATCTGAATCTTCATGAAGTGCTGATTCTATCTCTCAGAAAGTGTTGATGCTAAAGAATTAATTTTTGAAAAGTGCTGATTTGTGCTGATTTCAAATACTGAATTTTGAGATAATGTTAATTCTTTAAAAGATGTTAATTTTAAAGTACTTTGATAAGCAGTATGAAGATAAGTATTTTAGTAAGCAGTATGATAAGCAGTGTAATATAAGTAATGTAAAGGCAAGGAGCTAGTATAATGTGGGATGATTGAATCTTCTATTTGAAGGAGCTAGCTAGATTATTGCTATATTACATATAAGCAATCATATGTGGGTGGGGTAGTCACTAGGGCAATGCCGCCCAGGTGAGCACTGCTACATCCCCCCTAGCATCACCATGCAGAATCTCAAATATCATATGTGAAAAAGAAAAAACTAGCTATATCATCCTCAAATCTATTCAAATCATACTACATATATTAAGTTTTGATATTTCTACCTTTTCTGCCTGTAAAATCAAGTAAATCAAGGAATTGTTAAAATGCTACTATGTTCAGAGATTTAGTCAATCCATCTGCTGTCATTTCTTGAGTTGAGATGTATTCAATTAAGATAATACCATTGTTCAATTGACTACAGGTGTAATGAAATTGCATATCAATATGCTTGCTCCTAGCAGTGATTGCAGCTACAGTGACTAGATTAATCACATCTTTATTATCTGCCTTGATTGACAGGGGGTCATTTGCTATAAAGCTCAGATTCATCATTATGCTCCTTAATCACATTGCTTCATATGTAGTCTCACTCAATGTCACATATTCAGCCTCATTGAAACTCAAAGAGATGCATGACTGCTTGCTTGATCATCATGAAATCAGCACATCAGCAAGCATAAAAATGTAGCTAGATGTAGACTTCTGATCATCATTCAACAGATCAGCTCAGTCAGAATTTGTGTATCTGATCAGCATATATATCACATTAGAGAAATCATTCTTGAGTTCTTCATTATCATCATCCTTCACATTAAATATGCTGATTTCACACATGCCTTTCAAATATTGAATGACATGTAATAAGATCTTCCATGTTTTAGAGGTAGGGACAGCATTCTTCTGTGTCAATAGAAAAGCTGCACAGGTGATATCTAGCTGCAGTTTAACTGTCAAATACTGCAAGCAGTCAATGCTATGTTGAAATTGCTGTTTTGTAAAACCAGCCTCTTTTTTGAGAACAGAGGAGTCATTCAAATGTAGACTCTTATCTATGGGTGTTCAGACAGTAGTTGCATTATTCAGGTGGAAATCTTCTATCAATCAATTAATATAATATCAGAAGGTCAATTCAATGCTGCCATTCATACATTTTACTTTCATGTCTAGATATTTTGTGAGTTCATTCAAATCTTTGATCTCAAGCTTCTAATGCAGAATATCAACTAGCCAATCAGCATTTCTTAACATATTTACAAAAATATGAAGATCATCAATGTATATAGTTAAATATAGATATTTTTGAGCTGAATGCCATCAAAGAACAGAGTCATAAGAACTTGAAGTAAAGCTGTTCTCCTGTAGCAGAGCTGTCAAGTAATTATATCATATTTTGACAGCTAGATTCAACTCATATAGAGATTTTTCAACTGCATAAACAAGTGTATGTGAAGCTCCTTCTTTGAAGTCAATAGGTTGTCTCATATAGACTGTTTTTTCAAGTTTTCTGTATAAGTATGTCATCACTATATTCATCTACTGTAGGTTCTAACTGTGTTTTGCAATGATTGCAAACATCATGTGATTTGTGATATCTGTAACTACAGGGGTATATATTTCTTGATGTGTTTTCTTTTTGAGTCAATTGCTACAAATTACTCATCTAAACTTCCACAATATGCCATTTTCATCAGCATTGGGGTCACTGGAGTAATTTTTTTCAACAAAGACTCAGTGATCAGATGTTACTGACTCATAATGAAGAACATCAGAATATGGAATTAATGTTCAAGTCTTCTGATATTTAAGATTGTCAATTTTACATTGTATAGATTTTCTTTAATATGATCTCATCTGTAAATGATTAATTGCATCCTTGAAGCTTTTCAGCAAGCTGCCTGTAATTGAAAAAGATATGTATATCATGAAGGCTTTTGCAGGCCTCATTCATAGAATTTGTAGTTCTGAAAAATCAGAAACATTGGAATCATCCTCTACCAAATAGATGGTAGGGGTCAGAGTGTTTTCAACTTTGATTGTCACAGTAGTGGTGAAATCCTTTTGTATTTCCTGCACTTTTGTAGGGAAAACTACATCAGATGTATCAAAAATCTTATCAGAGATAGAACTCTACATGTGATAGATTGACTGGCTGTGAAAATCATTAAGTTTATATAATTCAATCTGAGTGAACAGCTTATCCACTGGCTTCTGTGATTCATAAAGATGGACAAAAACATCAGATTCAAACTCATGGAAGTGGGTGATCTGTAGTGGTGTGTTCATCAATGCTGAAAAAAGAATTATATGAGGACTATGAGTGAGCTTCTTGCTGTCATCATTTATGATTGCAGGCTAATACTTCTTATTATATAAGATTGTAGATGTGAGTGTATTATTTGTGATTAAAACAACTGTTTCTAGAATGTTCATTCAGAACTTTTTTGAAATTTTCTTTTCTATAATGATTACTCTGACTCATATTATAATGATACAGATGCCATGTTTAAATACACTATCTTGATAAGATGATTGAGAAGTAGTTGATTTTCACACTATGCCATCAGCAATCATTAACATTGTCATCTTTTGCAATTGAAAAACCTCATCTACATCTATTCTGATATAGGCAGAGGCTGAAAAACTGAGGTTCTTAATGAACTTAACTCAATGAGAATAATAATTAAATGCTTAGTCTTTACTATATAGAAAATAGATTCATCTGAATCATATTATATCATCTGTGATTAACATGAAATATTTTGTGCCTTGATGAGATTCTATAGAATGATTGTCTATACTACTCAATGTGCAGTCATCACCTGCCAGATCAATATGAATTCATTCTATTGGTCTTATAGCCCGTAGCATGAGGGTGATTGAGTATTTACACGTCATACCTGCTTTGACGCAGGTGTTACAAAAGAAACTAGTCTTGAAGCTCTTGATGTGAATACTGAATAGTGAATTCTTTGCTAAAGCTATAATGACTCCTGTATGTATATGCTCCAGGTCAATATGCTACTCAGCAAGTGTTTTCACAGCTGTAGATGATTCTTGAGATTGGGATTAAGCATTGACAAAATCATTATTTCCAGTGATGACTAAGGCCTTAGCATAATCATTACTGTATATATGTCATTTTGCTGTGAAATAGATTACTGTTGACTCATGATGAGTGTCAACTTTCAACATCCTTTCAACTATTTTATAAATTGAACTCTGAGCTGTGTGAATCATAGTGAAAATAACATCATTGAGAGCTTTGATGATAAAGTAGGACAGGGTATTTGAATTTAAAAGTTTATATCAAAAACTCTGATTCTTCAACTTAGTAAAAGATACTAATTTGACAATAAAATTTAAAATATAATAAACATCATATATAGATATATCCTCTTTATCAGATTTTAGAATGAGATTTTCAATCTCTTTGATATGATTATATCTGTCATCTGCTATATGAATCTTGAGATTACTATCATAGATTTTCCATTGAATAATAGACTACTTTTTCCTCATCATATAAAAACTTGCACATGTGTCAAGAAATCAAGGCTTGAAGATAATATCAGTGATTGCTGACAAAGAAATTGCAGCATTGACAGCAGCAGATTGTGTTGCTAGAAGGTTAGAAGATTCATTCTTTTTTATTATTCTTATCCTTCTTTTTACTCTTCTGTTTATTATAACTGCTGATATTGCTATTTTCTATGAACTTGATAATCTTATTTTTACTTGCCTCCCTCTACTCTTCAGTGATAAGTTCAGGGTGTAATCATCAATAAGAGTTCTTAATATGCTGATTTGAGTAGTAGATCTCATATTTGAAACTATTTGAATTTGTAATATCAAATAAGTTAGAGTTTGACATAGAGAAGATAGCTATATTGACTCATGAAAGTGTGAGATATTTGTTGAACTTGCTCATACAATTCATTAACTGCTTCATGAGATTATTAATGTTAATATTTTTAATAGAGTCCTGGCTGATAATGTAGAAATTATTCAAACATATTATGATAAAAGACTTTTAATATTCTTTCAAATCAATAAGAAAAAGATTATGATAGAAGTCCTCTGAGTTGTTCAGCAGTTTCTTATAACATGCAACTAAGTAGTGGAATCTTCTTTGAAATATTAAATAATCATTGTTGATGTGTAGAGTAGTCAGCTTCTTCATGATATTGAGATATTCTTCTGTCAAAGACACTGCATATTTGACATCAATCTTTTTTCATAATGTATCAGTGTTGTTGAGTTCCAAGGCTTTAATGATTGTATGTACAGGCCTCAATAAGAATTGCAACATACATTGATAGAGTGCTTTAATTTGAATATTTCATTTTTCAGTGTTTAACATATTTTGACTAATATCATCTAGGCAGATATGTTGATTCCTGATTATAATATCAGTTTCACTGATGACTTTGACATCTGCAAGAATTCTCATATATCAGATTTGATAATTAGTATCATCAAATATATTTACAGCCTTAGTATCTATAGCTTTTTGAATATTCTTTTGATATTCACAGATCTGAGATTTGAAATCATCTACAGAGGTATCATTGTTGATATTTGAAGCATTCTGGTGTGTCATTTGTTGGCAAAAGATTAATAAATCTGCTACACTTATTGTAATTATGTCACTTGTATTAGGAGTAAGCATTTGAGACTGAGGGCTTGAGGTTCCTTCACTAGCTACTGTGGATTTACATATAAACTTGAGAGTAGGCATTTCATCAGGCTCATAGCTTGATAAATTCATGATGTGGTTTGAATTTGGTTTCTGCTCCAGGCTTTCTAATTCTTCATTCTCATCTAGTGATGGGAACACTCCAACAGCTCTAGAATGTGATCATAAAGATCACTTTTTCTCTGTTAAAGAGGTCAGTAGTCTAGTCATTAGATCAGAAAATGAACTCATTCAGACATATATATAGCAGTTTTTAATGTGATTTTTATTAAAAATCAACTATCTAGACTATAATCTGTGGGATGGTTGAACCTTCTATTCAGAGGAGCTAGCTAGGTTATTGCTATATTACATATAAGCAATCATGTGTAGGCGGGGCGGTCACTAGGATAATACCACCCAGACGGGCGCCGCTACATATAAAGAGTATTAGCATTACATTACTACTAAATTAAATAATCTAATAGAATTGCTCTTAATATTGAATTTTTAAATAAAGAGGTATATTTTTACATATTGATCAATCAGAATATGATTTTAATATCTGTTTATTTTATTATTAACTTAGCTTTTATTTATATTGACATTAGATATAAAATAATTACTTTGATAAAGTAATTTATTGATAATTTAGATTAAGATTTAATTATTAATATAAAAGATAATTATAATTCTTATATATGAATTTAAAGAGTTATTAGTAAAATTGTTTATAAAAGTTTATATAAAAAGTAGATTTATTTTTAAAACACTCTATTGTTTTTTATATATATATAAAAATTTATAGATATTAACTACTACAGAATTAATAAGTTAGTAGAAAATAAAAAGTTAAATTCAATAGATGATTATATAACTAGTATATACTGTATAGTATTGATTTACTAGATTTACTTTATTTATATTATAATTATAATCATCTATAATAATAAAAATATTTAATCTCTTTTGTGATTAATCTTTAAAGATCTTTTATACAACTTTAACATTTGTTGAGAGCTTTATAAGCTACTTTCAAGTATATTTAATAATAGTATTTAATAAATAAATTATAATTACTTACTATTAATATCATATTATTATTTTATCAAATAAAATAAAGAATATTTCTATTCTTAATAATATATAGAGTATTTCATAAAGTAGCTACTATATACTATCTAAGTTTAGATAAAAGAGATGAAGTTTAATTTAATTAAGTAGTTCTACAAGTACTATATCTTTTTTTATATAGTAATTTGAATAAAATAATAAAGGTAAAGTAGTTATTAAGATAAACTGAGTAAGAAGATACTTACTGAATGATAAAAAATTTTATAATAAACTTAGTAGATAGCTCAGTAAATAACTCAGTAGATAGTTCAGTAAATAGCTCAATAGATAGCTTAGTAGATGATGACTAAGTAGTCAATATAGAGATTATAGAAAGTTATTGAAAAAAATTCATTATTATAAATTCTATTCTTGTAATTTCTAAGAATTAATATATAAGTATTATACTTTATTGATAATTAAATCAGAAAAAAATCTATATATATATTCATATTCTATTAAGCTAAATATATTATAACTTTATAAAATTAATTTATTAAATATTTTATAAATATATTAACTTTATTCAAAGTATTTAATTATAATTTTATTTATTGAAATCTTTAAATCAAATATATACTATGTTCAATATACAATATAGAATTTTATGATTATAGATTTTATCTTATATTATTAATTTCTATTTTTAGCTTTTAACTATCGTGTATCATAGAGATTTAATATATGAATATATCATTTTATATGCTTAAAATAAGTATAATTTATATATTTTTTATATAAAGTAAATAAAATTTTATTTCAGATTATTTCTTCAATATATATCAGTTTAACAGGATTTATAAACTTTCATATAAAGAAGAGAATCTATAAAAACCTTTATTTCTACTATATTAATATTTTTAAAAAAATTATTAATAAAAAAATTTAAAGGTAATAGAGATTATAGTTAAAAATTCTTAATTTTCAGATAATAATAAAGTTGATTCTATTTTAACTTCTATTTTAAAAAGCTTTAAAAATTTATTATCAGTATCTTTATTATTATTTTTTTCAATTTTATATAAATATTAATAGACTTGATAATATTTTGAAAACTTTTCTTAGAGAAAAATAATATAAATAAAGTATAAAAACTATTAATATTAATATTGACACAAAGATTGAGAATTGAATTTTATAAAAGAGACTATATTGAATGAAATTTTATTGACTTCAAGAATAAATTCTCTATAATAATATTTTCAATTATTTATTTTCATTTTTTAAATGTTTTTGTATGATCTAGAGAATAAATCAATTAACTGATTCATAAGATTTAATTTATATATAAAGTATTATCACTGAGTTTGATAGATTTTTTGATGAATTTCATAATGAAGAGAAGAAACTAAAAGACATGCAGATTGACAGCTTAAAAACATGTTGAATTTTATACATGTTTGTCAACTTGATGAGAAATTGTGAATCAGTGAATTTAAATAATCAATTATTATTCATAAAATATTATATGAGATCTTATTGATTACTGAATGGCGCTGGTGCAAAATTCCATACATTAATTGATATCACGCTAATTGAGTAAGAACTTACGGACGAGGGGATAACCTGTGGGATGATTGAATCTCTCATATTGGGAGGCCTAGATAGCTTGTTGAAGCCTAGACTCTCTGTTATGGACTAGCGCACCGCTCAGTAGTATAAGCATCGCTGAGATAGACTATCAATACAACCACTTCAGACGTCCCACATAGCTATCTAATATACGCTATATCACGTGCGGCGGGGCGGCCGCCCGGGCAACATACACTCAACACAAGTCTTTGTTCAAGACACATTTGAGATTAAAAAACATCTTAATCAATTCTGATCACATCTCTATAAGCTCTCTTTCATTCTCTCAGACAGCAAGTCTGATGATGTGCTGATGCAGTACTGTCAGCACACTCAGTCTCTCAACAACACTGAACACATTCTAAGTCTTGATGTGCATCTGCTCTCTCATACACTGTTCATTCAAGAGATCTCATCTCCTCATCTCAATCATCTGTCACACATGCAAACTGAATGACATGAAGTCTTCAAGCTCCTCTACATCAGCAGACAGCTCAAAGAGCAGAAATGTCACATCAATATATCTCAATCTATGTGATCTGATGACTAGTGATCTTCTAGTCACTCATGAGACTGAGATACAGAAATCTCATGCAGAAGCACTAGCTGCTGCAAATATGCTTGATCAGATTGAAGAAGACTTAAATGTCATGAAGATAAAAGATCTATCAAGAACACTGACTCTTGAAGTCACTGTGAAGACACTAGTCAAGAACTGATACAATGAAAGTCTAGAAACAGCTAAGCAGTTTATCACAATCAAGTCTACTGACTTCACTGATGCAAATGATGCAAGAGCTTCTATTTATGCAAAGACAGCTGCAGACAGCATCAATGTAATAAAAATATCAGCAATCATACTGCAGAAATCTCTGCTTAGAAATAATCTCAGAGAAGAAAAAATATTATGAATTCTTGTATATCTGTCTTCAAATCATCTAGCTCACAAAGCAAGCTCAGTTACTACTCTTAGAAAGCTGAAGACTGAACTTTCAAAGTTTTTGACAGCAGTCATTACAGCAGTTCAAGTCATTCTCATAGACATTGTCATCATTTCTAAAAGCTTGCAAGACATGAAGACTCTGCTAGTCAAAAAGAATGTTTTAGCAGTCACTCTCATCAATGCTCAGATAGAGAAAAAAGAATATTGAATCATCTGTCTGATTTCTGAGCTGCTTATGAAGATTAGTGACTATGATGATAAAACTCTGTGTCTATTAGCAGAATTCATGACAGAAGAATTCACACTTCAAATCAGAATCAAATTTGTTCAGAGTTGCTGAACAAAAATACACTCTGAAAACTCAACAGTCACTCTTATATTACACTTTTCACAAGAGACAGCAGTAAATCTATCATCAAAAGTGAAACTATATGAATATTAAAAATCAGTGATCAGAAAGACATCTAAGATCAAAATACAATAATGCAGCAAATGCTGAGAATTTCATCAAAAGAGATACTGCCTCTGCATCTCTCACTGCAAAAAATGCAATTCTAAGAATCATGTGAAAGAAAATTCATCTTGTCATAAGAAGAATAAAGCATGTGAATGCCTCAATCACTGCACTAACTGTCTTGAATCACATGCTGTGAATGATTCATTCTGCTCCATCAGATCAGAGATAAAGAATGAGACTGTTCAAAGATATTCAAGAAATCAGCTGAGAAATATCTGCAATGCACAGAGTAAGACATACTTGATCAAGACAAGTAATAGCAAATGTGATGATCAAGGTCCATCAGCAGACCTGAGGTTGAATGATTCTACTGAGTGTAGATCTAATCTCACACTGACATCAAACACAGCATCAAGTACAGCATTGAGCACAGCATCAGACACAGCATTAGACATGACACTCAATTCAACATTTAATGCAACACTCAACATATCATCTTACACAACAACACTCTTCTTTCAGCTACTCAATAAAGAAGAACTCTAGATCTTCACAATTCCTGTAGATTATGCAAGTCAATGTAGAAAAAGAGAGTCCAGTACATGAGACAGCTCTCAATCTAGTATTTGAAAAAAAGACTGACATTCTTCTCATACAGAAACTCTGAATTCATAGAAACTTAAGTCAACATATCTCTAAAAAGCATTCAGCATTCAATTGCTTTGTCTCAATTGAAAAGTGAGACAGAAAGTCATGAGTTCTCATCTATGTGCATAAACACTCACAAATCTATGCTCATGCAGTCTCAGGCCTCTGAGCAAAAAATTGAGATATTCACATGCTGCACATATAGACCTGAGATCTACAGCTTCAGACAGTCAACATATATAATGCATCTTCAGATGTAGAGAATTCTGAACAAGATATGAGCTGTCTTCTCTTCTGATCTGTCTCAGCACTTCTGTTTCTTCTCACTGGCAATCTCAATATCAAGCACTTTGTGTGACA